TCAGAGTGAAACACTGTAGAATGAAGATAGTTTAGTGATAAGCTTCTTGCTTCACAACTCAGATTATTTCCTGTAGAAATAAACAACGATGACAGTACAAATATATGCAAGAGATAGATAATAAGTCAGAAGAAACCTCTAATAATAAGAATGTGATACTGCCAACTTGTTATAGGCAGTTGTGGAGCTATGCGAATATGTGCTATTTCGAAACCTCTGACTAACGTAAATGTAATATATTGCCGTGTAAAAATTAAGCACCAAATATTCGCTTCAAATATACACTGAAGACAAAGGTCAACTTTATTAAATGAATATTTAAATATGAAATTCATAGTTGGCTTGTACACTTATAATTTTCCGTATTGTATATAAAACTCCTTGATAATTCAAAATTTCCATAGAGACTTATTCATGGAGATATAGCCATTGGACAACATAGGTATCGCGGTGAAAATAGTCCATCTCGAGAGATTGAGAAATACATAATTCACTGGTACGTGATGTCATTCATTGGAAGTTGGATCAACACAAATATCAGTTGGTTAGAAATGATGTCTTCCGATAGAAATTATCATTAATTACTACCTACACTTATGATAATTCTGATTCCATGGCTGAGATCTTTCTTCTGCATCGTATGCATTTCATTATTGTTAATGAGTTATGGTGAAGATCTGCGTCATCCAACTTTAATTTCATGCTTGCTTGTCAGTTTATTTCAATGTAGATTTCCGACATGTCACATGTTTCGAAAATATTTCTGAACAGAGTTATTGAAATCAAAGAAGTCATGTAGATAACTTGAATCACACGACACGTAGACGAGAATTTCATATGATTATTTTGTAACTCATTTTTTGGTTGTTGGAGTGCTTGGAAACTATTTTATGTTGATTAATGGATAAAATAGGCAGAATCACAGAGACTCAGTAAAAATATTTACTGGAAACTGGAGAAATTATTTTTCTTAGTTATGTTACTTACTGAACTAAAGAACACCAGTTTGCTGTGAGTAATAGATTCAACAATCAGTGCGACTTAAATTGGTCGCGTTGGTGATATCATTCATCGACTGTGGAGTCGTCCAAAACCCTGAAGCGGTTAACATAACTCAGCATTATTTACTGATATTTATGATATCTTGTTGTTTATTTTGACCAACTGAAATGATCTTCATCTGCTCACATATGAGTTTCAAGGGACAGTACTTAATTAATGAGTTTGGATTTATCTTCACGTTAATACTTAGATTCTGGCTTCATTAGACTTCAGAATAGGCTTGGGTACAATCTAGGGCTCTCCAGAAGGATGCACAAACAGTTTAATGGGTTACACTGTCCTAAATGAGACTGGAACTCAATACTCGGTGTGATCTGGAGGATAATGCTTTACATTTTGAATAGATGAATACTGTATTGGGCTGTGGATAGGATCACCGTCCTTCGATATAATGCAACCATATTCCGGTGATAAGTCACGAATCTCAATAAGTATCTGTTTTATTATTCACGATCCAGAGGATAACTAGGTAAATTACTTCCATCTAGTAATAATAATTAATGACTGAAGTTTATTTCGTACAGTGTGAGTAACGGAAAAGGATTTGCAAACTCCTCCGCATATTTCTCGAGGTCATTGTATCCCTTATTCATCACTGAAATTTGGTAGAATTTTGTCGTCTGAATAGTCATTATGGTTAATGGGAATCTTTGAGAATTTCGACATGAAAGCATGTCTAACAGAGGAGAGTAGAGACTTCCAAATGGCTTCTGCAATCTGTATTTCTGTTTTCGAATATTAGTCATGTATGTTGAGCACATGTAGATTATACCTGAATTATGCGTAAAATTCCGGAAGAATTAGACAGAGAATTCACGATTTCCAGAAATAATAACTGTTCAGACGAGTATTTGACTGTAACATCCTACTACTCATCAATTATGAAATTTCAGAAGATACCAAACCATTTCTTATTGTCAATTTATCACCCTTAGAGGGTCATAATGTTCGTCATAAACATGTTGTAAAAATTAGTACGACATACCTTGTTAAAGTCAACAAGTGAAGTGTGTAACACCACGATTGTACAATTATTTGTTAAAAATGGAAACACTGTGCACAAATTTCGTTTAAAACGATTCATGTTGAAATAGACATAACTTCGAAGTACAATCTAAAATACAGGGTACTGGTCGACGATTCGTTTTCTCACTAGTCTATACTGTGTGCCTACTCCACTACTAACCGTGTTGTATCCTTCGGATTTTGCAGGAACCTCCCATCCTCATCCGAAGACTATTCTACAACCGGCGCACAGCTTCTACTAGTAGACACGACTCCAGCAGTGAACACCATTATGGATTATATAATAGTAATTTGTAGCAGTGGACTGTAACTGTATCACGAAGTAACCACTAATTTATATTGCTCATTAACCGGATTTTTTTGTAATACACTGTTACAATATTGTTTCGTTAACTTGGATTTTTATTCCAATATTTGTTCCGTTACTGAGCTTGCTATTAAGTCCCCTACAAACATCATAGTTTTACAGAAATAATTGCAGAAAAACGTCTTTTCAAACTGTGTGTACACTTTTACAGAAGCTGTTTTTATTCTTCAATAACAGTTTCCTGAGTTTATTCACACATCAACAACAGTCTTCACTAATCAGTAAGCATCTGGATATTCCAGATGACAGACGCAGAATATTGGCCAGTATTATGCTATTTAAAGTCGGAATTTTCGTATGGCATCACCAGCATGTTGAATAACCCGGTGAGATATATCGTTTGTTGAAGAGAGCAACTCGCCAAATATTCAAGGCAATCAATCATTGACAGGTCACATCAGTATTTCTATTCAAAGCAGCAGTAATTCCTTTCGAGGTAATAGATTAATCAGTAACACAGAGTGAAGGCCCACGCTCCTATCTACAGAAACCCTAATGCTCTGTTCATAGTTATTCAGAGACTCTGATACTAGTGCAGATTGGCTACTAGTGAGAGAAGCAACACTAATAGCCGATACAAGGTTAGTTATAAAGAAGATTACATGCACAAGTAGACCAGAAGTAAACTCTGACAAACTGAGTTTCCTTGTTTGTTTGTTTGTCTAAGTATTCTCATATGAATGAGATCACAATAAAAATAGTAAGAATGATAGATCAATAAAGGAATTGTAGGGAACTGTC